GAGTTTTGTTTTTCAATCAATCTAGCCACTCTGCATTTTTATTGGTGAATTCAATCCATTTATATTTAGAGTGATTATCGATATGCGAAGCTTACTGTTGCCATTTTATCTTTTGTTTTCTGGTTTTTCTATGTTTCTATTGTTTCTTTTTCTTTGTATTTTTTCTTTTTCGTTGCTATTTCAGTTGTGTGGTTTTCTGTGATGTTTTTTCTCAGTTTCCTCTTTATTTATGTTTTGTGATTCTGTTCTGATTTTTGTTCTGTGGTTACCATGAGGTTTATATAAAAGATCTCATAGATGACATAGTATTTTTTTCTGCTGATAATATCTCATCTTCATTAGCCTATGTAGGTTCCATCTTTTTCTGCTTCTCCTTCTATGTTGTTGTTGTCACAAATTATTCTTTTATGTGTTGTGAGTTTGTTACGAAATTGAAGTTCTTATAGTTATTTTTGATACTTTCTTTCTCTTTAGCCTTTATGCTATAATTAAGTGTTTACTAACCTATTCTGATATGGAGTTGCAATTTTCTAATTCTGTCTGTCTATTTATCACCTTGCTCAAAGCTTTGTAAACCTTTGCCTTTTTGTTTCAGGTATGAGGGCTCCTTTCAACATTTCTTGGAAGGCAGGTCTAGTGATGATGAACTCCTTTAGCTTTTATTTGTCATGGAAAGCCTTTATTTCTCCTTCATATCTGAAGGTAGAGTATTCTTGGTGGATAGCTTTTGCCTTTAAACATTTTGAATATATTATTACACTCTCTCCTAGCCTGTAGAGTTTCTGCTGAGAAATCTGCTGATACCCTGAGGGAGGTTCCTTCGTAAGTTATTTTCTTCTCTCTTGCTGACCCTAATATCTTTCATTTGCCATTGACTTTTGGCAGTTTTAATATAGTGTGCCTTGGAGAAAGCCTTTTGGCATTGAAATAATTAGGAGTTCTATTATCTTCATGTATTTGTATACCAACTTCCTTTCCCAGGTTTGGGGCAGTCTCAGCTATTATTTCTTTGAATCAGCTCTGTGCTCCCTTCTCCTTCTTTTCTCCTTCTGGGATACGAATTATCCTTATGTTGGTTTTCCTAATTGAGTCAGATATTTCTTGTAGAATTTCTTCATCTTTAAAAAATTTTAGTTCTCTCTTCTCTTCCACCTGAATCATTTCTAGATATCTGTCTTCAAGCTTGCTAATTCTCTCTTCCTCATGGTCTGCTCTATTAACAATGTTTTCTACTTTAGTTTTCATCTCATTAATTGTATTCTTCATCTCCAGAATTTCTATTGTTTCTCCCCATAGTTTCAATCTGTTTAGTGAAGTACTCCTTCTGGTAATTAATTTTATTCCTGAGTTCATTGAACTATCTTTCAGAGTTTTCTTGTCACTTGTTTAGTTTCTTTATGACAGCTATTTTCAATTCTCTGTCAGTTAGATCTCAGTCTTCTGTTACTTCAAGTTCGGTTGCTGGAGAGTTGTCATTCTCTTTCTGTCCTACCATGTAACTGTAGTTCTTCATTGTGCTTGGTGAGGTGATCCTCTGCCAGCACATTTGTAGTAGTAAACACCTTTTTTATTTGAGTAAGGCTTCAGTTGCTTTGATTCTGAGCTGCTTCTGGTTGTATTTGAGAGCCTGCAGTTTTCACCCTCCACTGCCTCTGCCAGTGGTGTCATCAATACCTTCCTTGTGCTGCTTGTGCCTCTGAGGTTGCTGGAGCCTTGCTGCATAAGACATCACTGCAATCACACGTGTCACCACTGGGGTCACCAGGCTGCGAGCTCTTCTGCTGCTTCTGGGGTCACCTGAGTCTCATGTTTCCCCACTGTCTCTCTATGGACTCTCCATAGACTTTTGAGTGCCGTTGTCTCATGTGCTACCTGTGCTGCTGCTCCCAGGTTACCTGGGGGTCCTGGCAGCACTGCTGCCAGGGGCACTGGGTTCACGGGTGTCACTGTGGCTGCCAGGTGCTCTGGTCTTGTATGCAGCCCTTGCTGCTAGCAGAGCTAGTGTTGAGGGTGTCACCAGTTGGGGCTCCCTCCTTGTCATTCTTGAACTTCCCACAAGGCTATTTCCTGCTCACAAGCTTGGCTGTTTCTCACGTACCTGATTACTAAGACTATTTATCTCTTCACGTGAATGTTGACAGTTTCTCTCTTTCAAGGAATCAGTCTTAATTCATGGGCATAGAGTTGTTCATAGCATTTCCCTATAATGTTTAATGTCTATAGAATCAAAAGTTATGAGCCTTCTTTCATTTCTGATAATGGTAATTTTTATCTATTCTCTCTTTTTTTCCCCACTTAGTTGTCTTATTAGAGATTGATCAATTTTACTGTTCTTTTGAAAGAATCAGCTTTTGGTTTCATTGCATGTCTCTATTGTTTACAATTTCACTGCTTCTGCTTTAAAGTTTTTTATTTCCTTTTTTTCCACTTGCTTTTGATTTAACTTGCTCTGCTTTTTCTAACAGAAATGAATACATCATTTTTCTCATATTTACAAAATATTTCAAAGTTTGACTATAGGCTCAGTTCAAAAGGAAGCTTCAATAATGTCCAAAGAATGAATCATGCACAGTAGAAGTAAAAGTATATATTCCCTATATCTAGAACCTCAAAAATACAGTAATACATAATGTTGGGGATAAAATGAAAATCTTAAGAGAAATTCCTTATGAAGTCTCTCATAATTTTATAATGGAATCTTTATTATAGACAATTTCTGGGCTCTAATTCCTAGCACACTAGGCTCCTTAAAACAGATGTCTCATCTCACTTTCAGGTCTAAATATTGCTTTCTTCCTGTGCACTTGCCCCTTGATTTTTCTTAAACATTTATCATATAGCTTATATTATCATTCATATCAAGGCATATCTTATTTCTTAAGCTTTTCTGTCCTTGGCAATGACAAAAATATTTTGTTAAATCAGTTTATTTATCTTGCCAAAGACTTACTGGAGAGCCCCAGGCTTCACAGAAACATCAGGTGATTCTTACTCAGAAGGAAAAGCTAAGTAACATGAGTTAATTGAATTAGGTATAACCTACTTTGTTTACTATGTGTTAATGTCTTTCCTCTGAAATAATGCGACATCCCAGAGGGCATAATACAATGTCCTATCATTTCCTTTGGTTTCCACATGCCTTATCATGGAGTGAGTATTAAGGAAGAGCATTTTGATTTAGCTTTTTTGGTTTTAAGATTGGCACCTGAGCTAACACCTGTTGCCAATCATCCCTTTTTTCTTCTTTTTCTTCTCTCCAAAGCCCCCCAGCACATAGTTGTATATTCTAGCTGTATGTCCCTCTGAGGGACACTGCCTCAACATGGCCTATGAGCAGTGCCATGTCTGCACCCAGGATCCAAACTGGCAAAACCCTGGCCTGCTGAAGCAGAGCATGCGAACTTAACCACTTGGACGTGAGATGGCTCCCTGATTTAGCATTGTGATTTCAAATATTTTCCAATATTTTTTGCTTCCAAAATAAAAAAAAAGGAAACCTGAAATGTGTTCAAGTGGCTATTTTCATATACATTTAATTTGGTTTTCATCATATAGTTTGAACACTTAATCAAATTATACCACACAGAAAAAAAATCCGTGATCCTAATCTATGAAACAGAATCTTATTTAAAAGGCACTTCTAAATTAAAGAATATCCATAAAAGGCATTGAAAGATATTCTTTTGATAGGCACTCACAAACTACTTTTAAAAGTAATTTTAGTATAAAGGTGAAAATTGTAAGTTAAAATATTTTTAGTAGAAAATAATGTAAGCAACCACCAATAGTGACACTATAAAACACATAACCTCTGCTAATATTTGGATGAAGGTCACTTATTTGTCTCATATATATGTAATATTTTTACTTTGTAAACATATGACTCTAATAATTTTCTATTATCTTTTAAAATCATGCCATGTTTTTGTCTATGTTTCTAAGCATTGTTGTAAAGCATTCATCATTAATTGCCTTATATATACCACTAAGATTAGATATTTAAATTGTTTCCAACATTTTACTATCATAAATGATAATACAATGAACAGCTTAATCATTAAATAATTTTTTTAAATTATGTATTCTTTAGTATTCTCAGAAGAACAATAAACAGGTTAATAGATATACCACTTTAAAAATCTAAACAATTGACTTACTGGGTTATAATCATACGTATATGCTACATATATATATACTTATATTTATTACTAAAATTACTATTACTAAACAGGAACTATATCTGCATATTATAAGGCATCGTTTTCTGGTTAGGAATTACAGCGGAAAAGTGAATTTAAAGCAGCTCCTTCTTTGTACCAGTGGTCCCTCCAAAGCGCAAAGCATTAGCCAGCGTCTTAATGAATACATATAAGTTTGTGTAATTCTCTGGACTGTGAAATGTGGAAAATACATCAACAAAGGAAGGTAGTGGAAGGAAACATGAAATCTGTTTTGTTTTTATGTCTAACCAGACCTACAATTCAAATATCGGGGGAAAAAAGAAAACACAGTACCTGACTATAACAGACTAGTTTAATAGACGGCAAATATTGCTGAATTGTAACAAAGAAATCTATTTCTAACCAATTGAAATTATCTCATTTTTACTCCTTTAAGTGGCATCTTGTAAAAAGCTTTCTCAATTTTTGGACATCATTTTAATTAAATAGTATTAAGTGAACCACACTTTGCTCAGCTTTGTTTCTGCTCTGACTTGGCATAATCAAGGGTTTCTTTTCCCTCACCTCCTTACCTCAATTGATAGAGAGTTGATTGCATCGAACTTTAGTTGGTGATTGTTGCACGTTTACAATTGCCTATTTCACTGCATCTTAACCAATAGTGAGGCCCCCTATTTGGACCTGTTTAAATTGTTGCAAATTTGATATGTACCATATAGAGAAATATAGATATATCCTTGTTACATTTGTATGAAATTTTATTTTTAAGCTAATCTGTGTTGACTTATTTATTACTGCAAAGCTGGCCCCCAGACATACCCAATAGGAGAGTTCCTCTGATCTGGATCTGCGGCAGAGACCACGCCTACAAACGACCCGTGCGGGCTTCCTTCAAAGATCTCAAATATGTAATACGGGAAGTGGAAAACAGGAGGTTCGTCATCATCTTCTACCTGAACCTTAATGAAAGTAGTGGAGGCTTCAGCGTGATATTTCATGAGCTTCTCATCAACATGGCGGTTTTTAACTTTTGCTCTAATACCGTAGTGGTTCTGGTGCTCAAAATCCACTTTCTACAAAGAAACACAGTGTGCACAGAAGAAATGGCTTCAGTAACCCGAGGAATTACTTAGAAAAACAATGTCTCAGTTGTTAAATTATCTCAGGTGCTGTTCTGTGAGGTTTGACTTTTTATGGACTTGGATCCCTTTGATAGTATCATTAAGCAGTGGCATAGTAAACCCCTATGGGTATTTTGTTATTCATATCTATTATAAAATGGGGATAATAACTATATTTTTTTGTTTAGGATTAAAATTATACTTTTCTGAGGATAAATATCTTACGGAATTGAGAATTAATTATCCATTACTTAAGATCTTTTCAAAAAGTTTGTCCTCTATTTGAAAATCTTTTTTAAAAAAACCATTCTACATATAATTCAAGAAACTCTGTAATAACTAACTGTCATTTCTAAACTCCTTTACTCCCTAAACTGTAAATCACAGGTTCTTATTTCAATTACTTAATGAAACAAAAACTAACTGGCTACACAAAATAATTGTGTGTATTTCTGATTTGATTTTGCATTTTTCTGCCAAAGCAAATAATTTTAATACATCTACCTTTTTTAATATAACTATTCCTTCTTGGGTCTCATTATTAGTAATGATGTCAAATGTTTGAGAATCATCTTCTTCAATGCTGTAATCCATTTCTGCATTCTCTCCTATGTCATTATCATATGCCATGATTTTCCCTATAGAAGTCCCAGTGGGTGCAGACTCAGAGACAGTCAAGCGATACAAACCTTTAAAAACAAAATTCAAGATTTTGTGCATAAATAATTAACACAAGAAACTCTCAATTATAAAACCCTTTATTTATGGACTGTAGGAAAACCCATACCTACCCTATACACAAATTATTTGTTCTAAATCTCTCTATGTATGTATATTGAGAGAGAGAGAGAGAGAGTATGTGTGTGTACTTTCTCCCTCTACTTTTGCAATCGGAACATTTCCTTAATATCCTATTTGAACATCTATCATTGTCTCTCAAATATCTCTTAGGGAGTCCTATCACCAGTCCATATTATTTTCAAATATCTATTCATGTACATACCTTCTCAATATTCATGGATTTATTTTTTATTGTATCCTTCAACCATCCCAAATTAAATTTGATGAAAAGAGTTTTTCAATTTCACTCAAGCATTCTCTATCTAAAGTTACCAATAAAAGTAAGTTTGAATTAAAGATGAGAGACACTGAAAGCATATAGTTGAGCTCTAAGAATAATAGTTTGACTTTGAAATTCTGAGCCTGGATTGCATTAGCCGTAATGGAAATGGAAAAGAAAGCTGGATCCACAATAGTTGGTGAAAGAACTATGTGGAAGTTAGATGACCCCATTGTTTTGGTCATTTGAAAATTGAAATACCCAGATAGAAATACAAAGTGGGCTTTTTTTCCTTATTTTTCAGAAGTAATATGCATAAAACTGATACAGAACTAGCCATTCATATGATATTACTTGTAATTTATGCTAAAATGTAGGAAATAACCATATATGTTAATATTTTAAAGAATGAAACTTCTTAGAATTAAAAAAAGAGCACATATAACATAATTTCTCTTTAAAAGGATTCTTAATTTCCTTAGAAGCATATAGCAAGTCACTTCACAGATTGCCTTGTGAGATTTTGCTTTTTTTTTTTTAAGTGGAGAAATACTACTTAAAAGTTGCCAATATTTTACGGTTTTCAGGAAGTAACAGTATAACTGTGCTGCAGTGTTTCTTTCATTGTGGCAAAATTAAAAGAATTCTTTATTTGATTGCCAAAATTAAAAATTGTCAACAAATTAATCTGGAAAAAACAATGTCACTACCCTAAACCTGAAAGCAGATGCTGTGTACACACTTCGCTAAATCAGCACTTCGTTTGTGCTATTTTCCATACTTTCAAAGATTGTTTTTTGAATACCAGTGCTTTACAAGGTCCTGTCTAGGGGCTGTGGCATCACAAGAAACAGTAGGCAGAAAACTGCTGCCTGGGCTAGCTTATGTTCTTGAGGATGAGGCAAACAATTAATACGACACTGATGAGTACTCAGACAGTGTGGTGGTGGTAAAATTTTCAATAAGGTGATCAAAAAAGTCTTTCTCGCGGATGTGACTTTTGTATAAGAAATGAACTAACGGAATGCATATCTAAGGAAATAGAATTTCAGGAAGAAGAAAGAGCAGGCAAAAAATGCACAATGCCAGAGTGTCAGGAGTGTTCTGAAACAGAGTAGGTCAATTGCCGGTGTTGGCTTGTCAATGAGCAAAGGTGGGAACGCTAGAACATGGGGGCCGAGAGGTAATGGGATAGGACTGGTGATGGCAAAACATTTAGGACCATGTGTGTTATGCTAAGGCCTTTGACTTTTTATCTTAGTGAGATAGTAAGACATTTAAGTGATATGATCTGACCTGTATTTTAAAAAGATCACTAAAACTGTGTTGGAAATAGACTAAAGGAAAATAATGGTGGAAGCTGATAGACCAGACAAGAGCCTAGTGCAACAATCGAGGCACGTGAAGAGGGTGGCATGATCCAAGGTGGCAGAATGGAGTTGGTGAGAAATGTTCAGATTATGGATATTTTTAAAGGCAGAGCCAACAGGATCTGCAGAGGGTTGACTTTTGGATACAAGAGAAAGATCAGAGGGAAAGGTGACTTCAAAATCTTCAAACAAAATGATTTTCTATTATCAGGAAGGGTATGTGTGTTTGCTCACAGAATATCAAAAATCAGGAACTAGCAGGAATTGTGCAGAATTGACTGTCAATTATGTATACATTAGAATTAAAAATTAAAAATTAGAATTGACCTGGATTTGTCCCAGTGTAGGCTGAGTTGTATCATTTAAACTGAATTGAATTTGAACTGAATGGGTGAGATTTTGCCCTGAACAATATGAAGCCTGGATTTGTTAATGCCTGAGATGGGAAAGTCTGTAGGAAGAGGAGGTTCTGAGGGGCAGGTGAGATTAGGAACTCAGTGCATTTTAAGTTTTAAATGTATGTGAGAATACAAATGAAGATATTGAGAAGAGAGTTGAATATGCATGTGTGGAGGTCATGGGAGAGATTCAGACAGGAGATATGTATTTGGAAGTTGTCAGTACAGAGTGGGTATTTAAAGTCACGTGGCTAAACGAGACTATTGAGTTAGTGTAGAAGGAAGAAAGACAAGACCCAAGATTTGATACCAGAAATACTCCAATGAGAAGCGAAGGAGACTGAAATAAGTGACCAGTGAGACATAAGAAAAAGCAGATGAAAGTGGCCCATTGAGAGTTTCAAAGAGGGAGTGATCACTGTCAAATCCTGCTGAGAAATCAAACTATATTAGGATTGAGAACTGAGTGGACTAAATTGCATAAAATAGACTGGATCAGTCTCGTCAAGTAGTATGGATGAATCCTGATTGGAGTGGGTTCCAGAGTATAAGGACAGTAACCGAGGACATCGAGTATTGATAACAGTTTTCAGAATTTTTTCTCTAACAGGAAAGAAAAGAAAATGAAGTATGATTAGCTGGATGTGGAAGTGAAGTTAAGAAATGTGTTTATTTTTTTTTGTTTTTAAGATGAAAAACACCAACAACATGTTTGAATGCTAATAGTAGTGAACCAGCAGAGAGGAAAATTCGTGACACAAGGGAGAGGGAGGGGTTGTTTGAGCGATGCCCTGACTGAGAGGTCAGGGAATGTTCACAACAGAGGACATATGTATTGAGTATTCAGATTGAGAGGAGGGCAAGGACCTTTCAATAAGGGAAAGCAGGTTGAACAACAGTAAGGAGCCAGCATATTTCTGTTTGGGAAGAATGGTCAATACACACATTTTCACATGATTATGGTGTGAGAAGGGAATAGAGAAAACATTTTGAGGTAACTTTATGGTCTAGAATCATGTTCACCCACACTGAGATTTGACTGAAGTTATTAATAGTATCATCTTTCATGAGGATTCTGAAAGAATTTTTAAAAACTACTTTAAATGTTCTAGTTTATATATAAAGTTGAGAAAAGTCAAAAGAAACTACAAAAGGCAGCAGGAGTTTTGAGGACATTTTGTCTCAACGAGCTTCCTTGAGAGTTCTCCTGCCTTCTAGAACCTTCAACTTGCTATTTCACTTTCATCTAAATAAAACATAGACTAGATTTATTCAATGAATTCAGCCACCATTTTTCTCTCTATATTATATGTAAATCATTTTATAAAGTTCTGGGTATATCAGATTTAATTACACTATCTTCTTGCATTTAGGACATATTTATGTTGTAGAGATAGTCATATACACAGTATATTTCATAACATGGAGATGAAGATCACACACCATTTCCTCATAGCCTAAATTCCATCCAAAGAGGAGCTGTTTTATTGACACACAAAGAAATGAGATGTTGTTCAAAGGGTACAAAGCTGCAATTATGTAGAATGTATAAGTTTTAGAAATCTAATGTACAGCATGATGACTAAAGTTAATAATACTGAATAATATAATGGAAATTTGCTAAGAGAGTAGATCTCAGGTGCTCTCATCACCCACACACACGCACAATGTGACTATGTGAGGAGATGGATATGCTAACTAGTTTGACTACAGTAATAATTTCACTATGTATATGTATATCAAAGCACCATGCTGTATACCCTAAATACATACAATTTTTATTTAAAAAAACAGTGACCACATTTTTAAATTAACATAATTTAAATTGGATGATAGCACAGAAATAAAAATCCAGATTTTAATATTTCTTGAAAAATCAGAAGATCTGATAACCCTGGGCATGGCACAAATTGGCTGAATTGAATAGTGTCTGCATCATTTAGGAGTGTGCATGTGTATGTGCGTGTGTGTGCACACGCACACGCGTGTGTTTGATCTACTTCTTTCTTTGCTCCACGCTTATCAAATTTTCCTCCTATCATCATAATTCCTCCTGATTTCTGGGAATGCTTATAAATGTATTTCTGTAGCTAAGACAGAATCCCCTGAAAAAGAAACTCCTTAGAAAAGAAATTCTTCCTAGGAATTTCCTAAGAAATTCCTCCTGAAGTACACTATGTGATTAACCTGTATTTATTACTTAAATTGTCACAGCAGGTGTGGCCTATTCTTGCTACAAAAATAAAAAATAAAGTAGTCATTTTAAATTGGTACTTATAGTAGGTAAAAGAACAAATTCCCAAAGATAATTATGTCCCAATACTCCAGAACTCATGAATAGGTTACCTAAAATGGCAAAAGGGAATGAAGGTTGCAGAGGGAATTAAGATTGCTAATCAGCCGACCTTGAGATGTGGAGATTGTTTCCGTTTCTCCAAGTGGGCCCAATCTAATCACATTTGTCCTTAAAAGTGGGAGAAGAGGCAAAAGTGTGGGCCAGAGAGATGGCAGTAAGAGAAGCATTTGACCCCCTTGGCTGCTTCTGAGATGTGCAGGCTGTCTACAGGAAGCAGAAAGAGGCTTGCAGGAGCTAACCGTGTCCCCCAATTGACAGCCATCAAGGAAACAGAGACCTAATCCTACAAACACGAAGAACTGAATTCTGCCAGCACCCAAATCCCAGGAACTGGATTCTGCCCTGGAGCCCACAGAGAGGGAGGCAGGCCTGCAGACACCCTGCTTGACCTCAGCCTGCGGGCGTCGTACCAGACTTCAAGATAATACATTTGTTTTAAGATATAAGTTTGTGGTAGTTTGTTATAAAAACAATTGAAAAATAACACATTACTCTTTCCCTTATATTTGACTTTCCACAGTAATGGAACTAATCACACCTTAGAATAATTAACAAATTTATTTTACATAATCTTAGTGCTGTTGCAGTGCTTTTAGAATGTGAACTCTATCATCTGCATCTATTCAACATACTTATAGTTACATTATAATAAACATTCAAGATGCTTTCTACTTACTTTCTTTAAATATGGGTTTATTGTCATTAACATCAGAAAGTTTAATTAATACACTCGTCGTTCCAGACAGTGCTCCAGGCAGACCAAGCATGTCTTTGGCTTGAATAATTACCCAGTACTCATCCTGCAGTTCTCTATCCATTTTAGAAGATATTCTTATGACTCCTTTAAAAATGTAATAAAACTCCAATTATTATTTCATTATTAACCATGACATCTTCCTAGTTAATTTTTAAGAATACAACCATATAATCATTCTTTTAACACATTTGGAACCACTACAATGTGCAAGACATGGCTCTGGAGAAAAAATATACCAATAATAAATTAAACACCAGCTCTGCCTAGAGTTTAGTGTGGTCACCACCATACTAAGCATGCTGGTAGACCTTGAATACAATACTGTGTTAAGATAATTGAGAGGTTGAGAAGAGCAGTGTCTTATTTTTACCTCAACCAGTTTTCTGCTATCTTCTCTAACATAAGTGTGCTAAAATTGACTTTTCCCATAAACTTTGAAGAAGTTCGTTTATTATAGGTAAATGTGTAAATTATAATGCCAAATTTATGCAAAAAAATACTGTGTCCTGTAATGTTAGTCTATTTTAAGTCATGATAGGTGAAGAAGGATTGGTTTCTGATGCAGTTATTCATAATCTACCAAAAGAGATAAATACATACACAGATATTCAAACTCAAGGTAGACCATGATAATTATTGTAATGTGCACTTTTTATAAAATTATTTAGTAAAAAATTAATTATCATTGAAAAAAAAATTGGACCACATTGTGACGGGATTTTAATTGTGGACTAGAGTGTTTCACAAGTATAATTTGTTATATGAATCAGTATGGAAATCATTGAATATATTAAACAGATGCTGCTGGTATCTCCCCACGTGTGCCTCTAGAGGGAATTGTGTTTCATATTAATAAAGGAGAATACTCATAGGGCTTTCGGAATGATATATCAAAGGTGTAGAGATTACTCAAACAGTGAGCGACTGGAGCATAGAGACCTGCGCTCCCCATATATGGGGGCTTCAATTTACTTTGCTCTATTTTCAACCTTTCTTCTCACCTTCCGACTGAAGAAAGGATATATATTCCTAGATCCTCTTACACACCAGAAAACTTAGCACTTCAATGTTCTGGCTCTCGTTTGTCTTGCTGCCCACTCCACCTCTGCTCCATCAATGCAATTTATGGCTTTCACTAACTTGCTCAATATATTTAAAAAGTCAGTGAGGGTTAGGGGAAAAGACAGTGCTTAAAATGGTCAAGAAGGTCCAGTGTGACCCAGCACATGTCTATTCCTCAGATACCCCACTTCTACTCTCCTCCTGGATACTTTTCCACACTGGCCTCTAGTTAGTGTAAGAGCTTCAACGCTGTCCCATCTCAGGAATTTCCCATACATTCTTCTCATAACCTGGAATGCCTTTCACTCTCTCTTCACCTTGGTCTGACTTCTGGTTTCAGTATATTCTGCCTTGACCACACAATATAAAGTAGGTCTCACTTTCTTTCTCCTACTGGACCTTATTTGTTTCACTTCATAATATTCACAAACTGAATGGATGTGTTCATTAATAGTCACATGTATAATATCTACTTTTAAGTTACGAGAAAGAAGAGTCCATGCTGGGTTTTTTGTTTTTGTTATTATTTTTTTAATGTTGCGATTTGGTACTGCTGTAAACACAGTGTGTTGTACGATGCCTGTTACATTTTCAACCCTTCTCAACCAAGACTGCATGAGGGAATTAAAACTTAATGTCTTAAGGCATCCACTGCATATGTTAAAATAACTTTTGTCCTGTGCATCCAGAATAATAGAAGCTAAGTACAATCCTTGGGAGAATTAAGAATACAGTCACTTAAGTCATATTTTTCATATGATTTCAATCAGGATTTCAATAAAACCTGATTGAGAAAGGCTGAGGTATTTAATATTTGCTAAATGAATAAATCAATAAGAAATGTTTAAATGTCCAACAATGCTTTATTTCATTTAAGATTTTCATGTCACCACATTGGAAATAAGAATTTACCTCTTACTAATAACCATAGAATTTTACTTCTTTTGACACTTGCCACATTCTCAGTTGTTTTAGTTATGAACTTATGTGGGTTTTTTTCCCATCTTTAGAGACTATAGGCTCTTAAAGGCAGGACTCATATGGTCTCAATCTTTGTTTGGAATGTGGCAATCAATATTTCTTAAATGAGTTAGTTTCCTATAATTCTCATGGATTCAATAGACATATTTAAAAGAAGGGAGAAATTTTCCTGTCCTATTTACTTTATAAAGTATTCAATTGCTTAATGGAAATTGGTGAAGCAAGCTTAGAAAATTCAAATATTATTTTCATCTAACTAAAAAATATATAAAATACAGAACTACATTTTTTGAAAGTGAATGCCTCATACAAGTTTTTACACCTAGACATAAATTCATGCTTAATCTCAGTCATTCTGGTTGCGTATGCAGGTGGATCTCATGGTGGTTTTAGTTTGCATTTCCATGATGACTAATGAGGTTGAGCATTTTATATTCTTGCAGGCTTTTTGCATATCAATTTTTTTCAATTGCTTATAAATGTCTTTTCCTCGTATTTTTAAATTGGATTGCCTGTCTTTCTAATTGATTTGTACGAATCCTTACATATGTTTTCTACTCCTTACACGAATCATTTGTAGTATGAATATGGAAAATCCAGTCTTTCAACCTTAGAAAAATCAGCTACGAGATGAAAAACAATTAAATGTTTAAAATTACAGCCCATTTATTTATTTATATAGCATCAGGTCTACTATACAACATGTTTGTAAGCTGAGAACTTTTGCTCTGACATTTGCTTACTTAGAATCATGCTGAATTTCACTATGTTTCATTCAAAAAATACCTGTTGTTGGTTCAATGGAGAAATAGGGTTGGCCTCGTAGTAAACTATACAGGAGACGAGCATTATTGCCACTCGAAGGATCATCAGCATCACTTGCTGTTACCTGGATGACTAACGTTCCTGAAAGGAAAAGAAATATTTATAGCAAATGAAGACAGTGGTCTAAGTGTACAATGAGTTCAGTTTTATAAAGCACTGTTTCTTTAGCAAGCAAGATGATAACATGCAGTGAAAGACTGCCTCCTTGTTCTGAATTATAAAACTGACATCTCTCTGTATAGACCAGAGAACGTAACCTCATGCAAAATAGCTCTTAATTACCATATACAATGTAGAATTTTAAACATGTAGATCTATGACATAATTAAATGCAACTATTAAACAATCCATTACAATGTGTAATTCAGGATTTGAAAAAGGTGTATTTACTAGCAGAGGAATCAAACGTTAATTGAAACCACTTTTCTTCAAGAATCATATTGTTATCCATACTTCCAAAAATAGTAAAATCTTGATAAAATATAAATAAATATTATTTAAATGAGCTTAAAATAGTATGAAGTTTAGAATAGGCATAATTATTTTGCCCATTTAAGTCCCTCCTATAAAATACCTACTGGTTTGAAGAATTTTTTTACAAAAGAGTGCGAAGCAAAATCTACCAGAGATTTATAAGGTAAACAGTTTCATTACAATTCAGTAACAATATAAATCATGGAAAATAAGTATTTGTACATTTAAAATTAATGCTCAACTTAAAAATATTTCTCGGGGCCATCCCAGTGGTGTAGTGGTTAAGTTCATGCGTTCCACTTCGGTGGCCTGGGTTCGCAGGTTCAGATCCCAGGTGCAGACCTATACATCGCTCATCTAGCCATGCTGTGGTAGCATCCCATATACAAAATAGAGGAAGATTGGCACAGATGTTAGATCAGGGCCACTCTTCCTCAAGCAAAAAGAGGAAGATTGGCAATATGTGTTAGCTCAGGTCCATTCTTCCTCCCCCCTCCAAAAAAATATATATGTTTTCTTTAAAAGTAATAAGCTTTTTAATTATCTTTATAGAATCTAGCATTATGGGTCTCATTATTAATCCACATTTATTAAAACACTATTTTCTGTGTCAATAAGATGGCAAAATGAATGCACAAAATCAAATAGTCTATGTGATTTTCTTTACAACTAGCATCATGAAATTTTTCATTACAATCTAATTTTATAAACTGAGACACTCTGATAGGAAACCCTTCTATTCTTCAGTAACAAAATTGTTGAAACTTTTACCATGGCCCTCAATCGTACGTAATATTTGCTGTTTTGTTTTAGTATTTTGTTAGTTATTTAACACTTGTTTTATACTGTACAACCATTCAAGAAGTAGACACCTTAATTTCAGGTGTTTTAAAATACATTCCTGCCATTTGTGACAGTATAGGTGGACCTTAAGGGCATTATGCTAAGTAAGATTAGGTCAGAGAGAGAAAGACAAATACTGTATGATACCACTTTACGTGTGGAATCTAAAAACACTGAACTCCCAGAAACACAGTAGATGGCTGGGTACTAGGGGTTGGGAGTGGGGAATTGGGCCCAGACTTGTAGTTAGAGGACGAATAAGTTCTGGAGCCTAATGCACAATATAGTGATTAGAGTAAAGCAACACTTCATCATATACTTCAAAGTTGCTGAGACTAAATCTTAAAGGTTCTCACCAAAAAAAAGAATTGATAATTATATGACGTGATGGAAGATGCTTGCTAATGCTACAGTGGTAATCATATTGCAATATATCAGAGTATCAAATAAACATATTGTATACCTTAAACTTACAGTGTTATGTGTCAACTATCTCTCAGTAAAATAATAAATAAGTGAATAATGAATACATTCCTGTAGTAATTATGAGGAGTTATTTCAACAAAAGTCTTCTTAGGAATGAGCAATTCAGTTTGTATTGGACAAGACTTACTCTTTTAACTACCCTTCTGTGTACACATCCATTTACTCCCCCTGAATTTCCTCAGTATGTTTCCATTTTATTTCTTTCCATAAGGGTTTCCCATCCCTGGTTTACAGAACTAGACTACCTCTATTTAGCTTCAGGAATGATAGTGAAAATCATGGTGTGGTTAGTTGTTGACCAAAAGAAATTCTTAGTATTAAGACTTAAGCCTTCCCCTAGTACTATACAAACAAGAACCAGAAAGATGAAGGCAATGCACTGACGCACAGATCGCCCTGCACTTCATTTATACAAACACAAGTTATGGAGTCAGGTTGTTTCTCCCAGTTCAGTTTTTCTAAAGCACATTTTAACTTCTAACCAAACCTACCTCTTCAATGTCCTAATATCTCAGTCCCTTGCTCTCCACTAAACGGAAAACTTAGTGTAATATATTAATGAGTCATATAAAATAATTTCTCAGAATGTGTGGAAAATCCAAAAAGTCAAACTCTTAGGAAACTTAGTGGATAAAAAACAACATATTATAAATATTCTGTATAACTTTCTCTTGAATTTGTTACAGAGTTTACTTTCTGGAGAAATATTTATTATTCTCTGTGGTAAAACTCATGGCACTTTTTAAACTGAAAGTAGAAAACCTATAGAATTGGGATAATTCTATGACACTTCAGTGGCACCCAGCGCTTGATAACGAACCATCAGTGACTACTCAGGGATTCACTTGATATTTGTGTATGTGTGTGCATGTGTGTACACGTGCATGGATGTATCCTACTATAAGTTACCATGGAAGAAAGAAATTTAAAACAATTAAGATGAAAAAAAATGCAACTGAATTTCTAAAAATTCATTGCATGTGTTTGCTTTCGATTCTTACTCATGATTCGTAAATATTGCCTATAAAATTTAGAAGGACCTCAGCAAGTTTCAATTCTTATATCACTCTAATGATCTGATTTTGTTTTATTTTCTTTAGTTGTTTCTGGCTTTCTTTTTCACTGTTTTAGTTTTGACATCAGAATTCATTAAGTACAGAAGTAACTTTAAAACATCGTAGGTATTTTCTAAAAGATGTTTCTAAAAAAGTCAACAGAGAGAAGTAAGTCTATATATTTTCCTAGTCAGCAACTCAAATATTGTAGAAATCTTCAAGAAATAGTCAAGTAACATAAACAAATAATAAAAATAAATAATGAAAGCAGTCAAGAAATATAAAAACATTTGATAATATTTTATATGATTATGTTTTCCATGAGGATTTGTCATTTGTAAGGGAATCAATCTATATATTCACATGTAGTTAGGAATTAGTTACAGAATACACACAAAATTGAGAAAATTACTATGAGGCCAATAATGTGTCTTTCAATGCAGATAATTAATAATTGTTTCACAGTTCCCCCTTCCTTATATTACTGGTTAAATATAGGTAAACAGATATTTGGTGTTTGAGAAAATAAATGCTTAATTTCTACACTCATTCTTATACAAACATATGTAATCCTTCCTTTATATGTCAGTAATATCAGAAATGAATTACTCGTGTTTGAAGCAAAATGAATACCACAGCAATGCTCTTTTCAAGTACAGCAGGCTTTTGAGGCTTACGTAAGTACTCTTTATTATGTCACGATCATTATTTATTGTTAGAATCACTCTGAACAGGTTTATGAGCAATGTGGCTCCAGTCTCCTGGCCATCCCATTTCCTAACAACATCCCAGGCATCGCTATGAATTGAGGTTGCATTGTAAAATATTATGGGCACTATTCCACATAACAACACAGTTTATACAGGTCCATGTTAGCATACTTATGGACCTATTTTTAAATTTGTATGTCTCTAGAAAAATGCATTTTGAATGTTTAAACCTAAATCACAAGTAAAGATTTGGGATATATAATATTTACAAGACTGGGATATATATATATATATATATATATATATATATATATAAAATGTATATTATATGTGATTCAATATATATATCTAATGAATTCTATATAAATTCCTAAGAGAAATAATCTAGATAGCCATTGAAAGGGAACCTAGCTAGGATTCTAAAAAATGTTCAAGCATTATTCCACACAAATAAACTGACAATTCAATTGATCAATATAAAGTTATAATAGAATGTCACCAGTTGGGTTCATCACAAAAGTTCAAGGTTGTCTAAACATTAGAAAATGAACCAATATAATTTGTGGCATTAATAGAATAAAGGAGAAAAATGGAAAAAAGAAATTTTCATTAGATATATAAAATACATCTGAAAATATTCAACTTAACTCAGAAAATTAGGACTATAAGGCAACTTTCTAAATCTGATAAAGGGCATTTTTATTGAAAGCAATCATATTTAATTGTGAAAAGTTAAAATTTTTCCATCTGAAATAGTTAAAAAGCAAAAACTTTTACTTTCACTGCTGTTTTTTCAACATTGTACTGAACCTTCTAGACAATGCAATGAGACAATATCATGTATATGTAATTAAATGATAAATAGATGATGATGATAGATAGGAGATAGACATTGGAGAATAAAAAATAAAACTGTAATAACTATTCATAGGTAAGAACATTTTTGTTAGGAAATCAAACACTATACACATAAAATAGTATACAGAAAAATATCAAATATTAAATTAGTAAGGTCACGGGAACACAAAAAATGTACAAAAATCCTTTTTATACCAGGAATACATATTTATAAAATATTTTAATTAAATGTAATATATATGATAAGAAATAAAATATCCAAGAGTATATAAACAAAAATTATTGAAGACCTCTCCAAAGAAACTAAAGAGAAATGAATGACAGAAAAATGTGGACGAAAATACTGGGTTTATGAATTAGATGACTATGTACTTAGAAACATCAACAAACAGGTTCACAGTGTAAATGCTATCCAAATCAAAATCCTAGAAAATTGTATTAATGAGTAAGTTGAAAAGATCATTATAAAATATGTATGGAAATGCAAAGGACCAAGAACGGTCAAGACAATTTTGGTGAAGAAGAGCATCTGGGGGACTTGCACTAATAGAGGGCAAGGCTGATGATACAACGACAGCGATACAACGATACAACTGAGAGAATATAATGTTGGTTCCCGGAGCAAAGAAAGAAAAAAAAATGGAGCTGATAAAAC